CAAAACAGGGCGATGCTCAAAACTCATTTTTCGAAAGTTGGTATTTAAGATAAAAAATATATACCAGCAGAGTCATAACAAAGTAGCAAATCTGTGTATAAACATTGGGTTCCGAACTATTACCAGTTGCCGCGTACAACAGCTCAAAGTTAACTTTTCAGTCAGAAATTTTTTTTTCCGATATCGAAAGCGAGTTCATATGTGTTATTAGAGGCTATGTTATTATGTTTAAGGTTACTATTAGTTTAGAAGGAACTATGTCGTTAAATAAACAATGTGTGCTGATTGTTTTACAACTTTACATCATTACATAATTTCAATGGTTTCTGAGATATAAGAAACAAATTTTAATAAACAATTTTTTTTCATAGTGAATTTTTAAACTCGTTTTTTCCAAAATGCACAAGGTTCTTTTTCCGAATCTTTTTTTGTTATAACCACAAGTCTTTATATATAAGTAAACTTAAAAGATTTGCACAAGAACGTTGCGCATCTTTGAGAAAAATGTGTTTTAACGTGAACTTATTAATTTTTGTCAGGCACATTTTATCAAAAATATGTTCCAAGTGGGGGTGTTTTAAGAAAAATTCAAACTAAATGGAAGAGAACGGTATATACCGTATGTATTTATTCTTTATTTCAATACTGATAACTTTTATTCCAGACGGAACCCTTTTATCCGTTAAAAATCGGGATTTGTGTGAAATATTTTTTAAAAGCCCATCTAAATTACTACAATGCAAGTTCAGAGATGTGGAACAATATATTTCAAGCCAAACCAGCTGCCCAGCTTCGGAAAGAAAGAAGTTGCAAATATGTTTGCGAAATTTAAAGAGCTACATTACCTTAAAATGGATCAGATGCGGTAGACACAAAAATAGATTTTATGAATCGGAAAAACCGTGGTTAGAATAAACTTGTCAATTTGTGGGGTATCAGATACCTAAAGGAGGAAGGCCCACTAAAGACTTTGGGGAATTTAGTGACCAGTCAAAACGCAGGAAAACGTCTTAGCTTCGTCAAGATTATTCCCACGAACAATTAACGTTCGCAGCCAAACAAATTCTCGACACTATTAATTCCCCATCTGAAGAAACTTCTCTGAACTGCCGCATGTTTTTTTTCGAATAACGAAACAAATATTTCAAAGCGTATCGTGAACGTTTTAGCCGAAAAACTTCAAGGAAAGCTAACCTTGAAGATATATTTCATCGCCTACTTTATTCTTCTGATCCTCATATTACGAGTTTAAGACCTTTACAAACAGTAAAAAGAAAATCATTTGATCCAGAATTAAAAGACATGCTTTTAGAAGAGAATTTTGAATACACACAACCTGAATCTGATGGTTATATAGATGAATAAAATTTGTATCGTGCCTTGTACCGTTTTGTTATTGTTTCTATTTTAAGTAATCTTTATGGCCTGTTACCATAATTACAATTATCAATGTACAATGAATTAGTTTTTCAGTGTTTAGAACACGAAGTGACTTATTGGAAATAGTGGATGATCTGGGTTTGTTATTTTTCTATACATATTTTTCAATTTAACAAGAAAAAAAATTGTTGAACAGTGCTAGTACACAAAATAATGAAATAATATTATAAAAATAATATTATATTTCCGTTTTGGATGTGTTTTCGTAGTTTTCAGGGGAAAAATCCGGTTACAGACTTTTGAGCACCAACTTGCGTGCGGCGGCGGCGCGTGAGGAATGACAAAAAAACGGCGGCGGCGGCGTGGCTCGGCGGCGTATACCTCTAATATGTACATATGTAAAAATGTAGTTTCGATTTAAAAAAATCTGATAAAGCTTTTCTTTCGCCATTCATACACCTCTAATTTTAGTATTTATTAAAAAAAAACTCAATGAAATTCAAAAACTATCTCTTGCATTTGGTTTTACTCAATACCGATTTGAGCTATCGCACAGTGTTATAAAAAAAAGGTATCAATGGGTAGGTTCAGAAAGCGCAGCAGTTGAGCGCAACCGTTGCTAAAAAAAAAATCAGTGATCGTTATGCGTCTTCTGAACGACTTAATACATTAGCTGTCAAATTCAACTCTCAAAGGTACACACCAACATGTTGTCTCAAATGATCAGAAAAATATTACGATCATCTAACACGCAACTATTCAGTTGATCACAAGTACGCGACAACGCGTTCAGAAGGTGCAATCGCACCAGTTACTGAGCTGTTGCGCCTTCTGAACGCGCCCAATGAAAATTCGTTTCTCTTGAAATCAAGTTATATGGCTGCGCATGTATGTACATATAATATATAATATATATAATATATAAAAAATTTCTTAAATCAGTATGCAGCTCTGAAGAAAAAAAAATGCTCGTACATCTCGTCGCTACCATGTCCAACTATCGAATGTGAAAATCGGCACTTTTCAAAATTTTGATTTGCCACTAATAATTTTATTTCGTATAGCAGCATTGCTTAAGTTGTTGTTATTGACAACTTATTTGTTGGTTAATGACTGCAAATAGTTTTTAGAAAATTAGAAACTAGAAATAATACTTTCATAAAAATATAAGTACATACATAGATTTAAAAAGCTGCTTGAATACAAAAGTTTTATAAAAATGTCACATTAAACAACTGTCTAAATCTACGTTATTTTTTATAAATAAGGCCGTAAACATTTCCTTACATCGTCAATTTCCATATTCTATTTTTACTCTTTCAATTTCACTGACCAGCGCCGCAAACGATATCAACTAGTAGGCTAACAATCAGAATTGAAATTTAATAATATATAATATATAATTTAGGAATAGTTCGATTTTTATGTGTATATTAGGTAAGCACGATTCGAGAAGCATAGAAAAAATTTCGATGAAAAAAAAAAAAATTTTGTTCGGGTTCACAACTGGAACCAACAATACACATCCACAAAATTTCATTGAAATCGGTTAAGCGGTATCGGAGATTAGCGTAAACGAACACAGTGACACGGGATATTTATATATTAAGATACCCTACTATAAGCACCTACCATAGATACGTTTGCTTATGGTTTTGAAATTATAGTTGATAAAATTTTCCACGCCTATGGGATGTGCCACGCCCCCTTTTACAAACCCATTTATATATAAGCACCTACCATTGATATATCTGCATACTAAATTTCAAGATCGTGGGACTTATAGTTCCGAAGTTATAGCTGATAAAAAATTCCATGCCTATTGGATGTGCCATGCACTCTTTTCCAAACTCATTTATATATAACCTAATATAAGTACCTACCATTAAAATGGCTGCATACGAAATTTCAAGTTCAAGCGACTTATAGCTCCGGAGTTATAGCTGTTAAAATATTCCAGGTCCATGGGACGTGCCGCTCCCCCTTTTACAAACTCACTTATATATAACCTACTATACGCACCTACTATAGATACGTCTGCGTACCAAATTTCAATTTCACGTGACATCTGATTCCGAATATTCCCCGCCTATGGGATGTTCCACTCAGTTATATATGCCTTACTTAAAGCGCCTACCGTAGATATGCCTGCACACCAAATTTCAGGTTCCTGGCACCTACCGCAGATATGTCTGCATACCTAATTTCAATTTCATGTATTATAGTTGATAAAAATTTCCACGCCTATAGTTATGTCTGCATACCAAATTTCAAGTTCATGTGGCTCATAGTTCCGGAGTTATAGCTGATAAAATATTCCTATGGGATGTGCCACGCCCACTTTTACAACCTTATTCATATAAACCCTACTATAAGCACCTACCATATGTATGAATGAATAACAAATTACAAGTTCATATGACTTATAGTTTCGGATTTATAGCTTATAAAATACTCCACTCCTATTTGATGTGTCACTCCCACTTCTACAAACTCATTTATTTATACCATACTATAAGCACCTACCATATATATGACTGTATACCAAATTTCAAGTTCACGTGACTTTTGGTTCCGAAGTTGTGATTGGTAACAAATTTCACGCCTATGGGATGTACCACGCCCACTTTTACAAAGTCATTTAAATACTCTGCTGTAAGCACCTACCATATATATGACTGCATACCAAATTTCAAGTTCATGTGACTTATAGTTTCGAAGTTATGGCTGATTAAAAATTGCATGCCTATGAGAGGTGCCACGCCCCC